TGAAATCGACGCTATTGGACGCAGAAGAAGTCCGAGGTATGTTTGGCGCACTGTTTCCGCCGACCTGACTGAATGAATGATAGTTTTATTCGCTGTCTTCCAGTGATTTTGCTAGTGGTGGAAGCCGAGAAGAAGAGCAGACTTTAAATCAGTTGCTGGTTGAGATGGATGGCATCGATAGTGGCCGCGGTATCGTGCTGCTAGGCTCAACAAACCGTGGAGATATCTTAGACAAAGTTTGTCTTTGCCCATCTAACTTATGCAATTTGACGTACATATCGAGTGCAGAAGAGTGTAGGGCTGCAAAGTATATGTTCTGTTTATGATTATTTGCAAAAAAGTCTAAAATTTCCTGCATATTTCTCTTTTTGTGTGAGCCAAGGACACTTGGAAGTGTTTTGAGTAGTAGCTCCTTCCCAACAGCACTCGCAGTGGTTCATGCATCTGAGTATTTTTAAGAAAAGAGTTGAAGGCGTTTCAGCTAGTGTCCCACTACCAACGTATCATCGTAAGAAGAAGCATTGCTTCGTATTGATTGATTTTTCTGGTTAAGGAACTGTGGGCAGCGCTTCGGCTTGAGATTAAACAACAGTGCCTCCTGCCAGCACCTACTTTTTATCAGACAGCAGTAGTCCTCCTTTCTGATCTGTTCCAAAATTGTCGTGCGAGATTGTTCGGTATTTTGTGAGAAGCTCTGATGTGGCGATGGTTTTCAGGCTCTTCTTCGCCCTGGTCGATTTGATCGACATATTATTATTGATCTGCCGACTGCTTTGGAAAGACAAGAAATGTTTGAAATATATTTGAGTAAAATCAAGCTCGATCGTCACCCGCAGTATTACTCGAAGCGACTGGCACAAATGACACCACGCTTCTCAGGTTTGACATTTAAATGTGCCCGACTGAAGCGTTTAACTTTTAATCACTGGATATTAGCTATCCGGATCCTGACTGCTTTTCTGAAATAAATCTTCATGTTGATGTTCGTTTACACCGCAACCCTGTTCTTTTTTTAAATGTTATACGTCGTAAAAGAGATTTTTCAGGTGCAGATATCGCAAATATTGTGAATGAAGCGGCTATACGAGCAGCTTCATTAAAAAGAAAGCAAGTTACGGTAGACGATCTCGACGCGTCTCTACAAAGAGTTCT